TCAAATGGTATTTCTAATTCCAACTTTTGAAGGAATCACCATACTGCTTTCCACAATGGTTGTACCTGTACTAATTTCTTGTGGGTTTTCATCAAGATTAGTTTTTATCAAATGCCTTTTCTGCCTCTGCAGAGAGGATCATGTGGTTCTTTTCCTTTGTTCTTTTGATGTGGTATATTATGTTGATTGATTTTCTAATGTTCAACCATCCCTTCATTCCTGTAATAAATCCCACTTGATCATGATTTATGACTTTTAATATGCTTTTGGATCCTGTTTGGTAATATTTTCTTTAGGATTTTTTCATCCATATTCATAAAGGATATTGGCCTGTAGTTTTCTTTTTTTGTTGTGTTTTTGTCTTGTTTTAGTATCAGGTCATGTTTGCTCATAGAGTGAATTAAAGAGTATTCCTTTCTTCTCTGTCTTTTGGAAGAGTGTAAATAGGACTGATAATTATTCTTCTCTGGTAATATAATGCAGTGAAGCCATCTGGTTCTTTGATTGGGGGAACTGGGGGCTTGATCACTGATTTAATCTCTTATGTTTTATGGATCTGTTGAGATTTCTATTTCCTCTTGAGTCAGTTAGTTCTGTGCTTCTGTGCTTCTAAGAATTTGTCGATTTCATCTAGGGTATCCAGTTTGTTGCTATACAGTTGCTTATAATATTCTGTCATAATTCTCTTTCTTTCAGATCTTTTGTAATGTCTTCTTCTTTATTTCTTACTTTGATCATTTTAATTTTTTCTTTTTCTTTGTCAGTCCAGTGAAAGGTGTGTCAATTTTACTGATTTTTTCAAAGAAGCTTTCTTTTTTGTTTTTTTTAATGCTATTGTAGGAGCTCTGGTAGCATAGTACCTAAGGCACTTGACTGCTAACCAGGAGGCTGGCTGTTCAAACCCACCAGCCACTCCTCAGAAGAAAGATGGGGCAATCTACTTCCATAGTGATACTGCCTCGGAAACCCAAGGAGGGGTCACTATGAGTCGGGTCCGACTCCACAGCACATAGCAACAACAACAATGCTATTGTATTTCTGGTTTTGATTTTATTTATTTATACTCTGGTCTTTGTTACTCCTTTTTTCTGGTAGGTTTAAGCCTAGTTTGCTCTTCTCTTGCTAGTTTCTCAAGTTCTGAATTAGGCTTTTGATTTGAGAACATCTTTTTTCATGAAGCTATTTATTGCTCTGAGTTTCTGTCTGATTACTGCCTTCACTATATCCCATAAGTTTCAGTATATTGTACTTTGATTTTCATTTGACTCTAAGAAATTTGTGGTTTCTCTTTTGGTTATCTTGACTCATTGGTAGTTTAATAGTGTGCTATTTCATATCCATATATTTATGTATTTTCCAATATTTTTCTGTTATTAGTTTCTAGCTTCACTCTGTTGTAGTTAGAGAAAATACCTTGTATGATCTCAGTCTTTTTAAATGTGTCAGGACTTGCTCTGTGACCGAACATGTGATCTGTCCTTGAGACTGATCATGTGCACTTGGTGTAGAACATATATTGTGCTGTTGTGTGAGTGTCCTATACATGTCTGTTAAGTCTAGTTGGTTTATAGGGTGATTCAGGCCCTCTTTTTCCTTGCTGATCTTCTTTCAAGATGTTCTGCTTATATTGGAAGTGGTGTATTTAAGTCTCCAACTATTATTTTATTTCTCCCTTTAATTCTGTCAGTGTTTTCTTTATATATTTTAGGTATTCTGTTGTTGGGTGCATGTATATATTTATGATTGTTAAAACTTCTTAAAGGAGCTTTGATCACTGTATCACTTTGATCTTTATCTTTTCTGACAGATTTTGCCTTGAAGTCCACTTTGTTATTTTGGTTATTTTCATGGATTTTTTTTTTTTCCACCTTTCACTTTAAACCTATTTGTGTCCTTAGATCTAAGGTGTGTCTCTTATGAACAGTATATAATTGGATCATATTTATTTGTCCATTGTGCCACTGTCTGCCTTTTGATTGGAGCATTTAGTCTAATGACATTCACTGTAATTACCAATAAGAGGTGACTTACTTCTGCTATTTTGTTATTTGTTTTTTGTGTATCTTAAGCTTTCTTTGTCTTTTTCCTTTAGTACTGCTGCTTTTGTATTTTGTTGGTTTATTGTAGTTAGCATTTCTGATTCCTTTCTCCTTTCCTTTTGAATGTATTTTTAGATTTTTTTTAGCAGTTACCATGAATATTACAGTTAATAATTTATAACATCCCAGAATAAGTGGGTACCGGTTTAAGTTCAGTCAAATACAAGACATTGTATAACCACATCATTCCTCTTTATTTTGTTTATATTTCATATGTCCTGTGCTGTTTAAGGTTATGTGTCAACTTGGTTAGGCCTGGTTTTGAGCATCTGGGCAGCTGGATGTAGTTATTCCCCCATGGTGAGATTGGTAATCCACTCCATGATGGAATGGTCTGCTTCCACTGTATAAGGAGAAGCATTGAAAAAGGTCTGCAGCTTTTGGCATGCTTGAACCCTGATGTAGGCAAGTTGTTGTTCAGCAGTCTGCCGTGTTGTATGCTGATCTTGGGACTCTTAGTGGACTTGAATCAATGGCCTGGTGTGTGGTTTGGTAATGCTGGGACTGTGCCTTTTAACTTACCAACTTTGGGTTTGTCAGCCTCAGCAGGCATCAGCTGCCTGAGTAAAGAAAGCCTCCAGCTTCAGTGGGTCAGGAGCAAGGGGCAGAGCTGAAGGTCAAGGTCAAGAGGCTTTCACCCAGCCCCTAGAGCCTGGCACTTTGAACTCTGACTTCCAGCCTCTAAAACTGTAAGAGAATAAACTTCTGCTTGTTAAAGCCATCCTCCTGTGGTAATTTTATTAGAGTGGGTCGAAGTAACCAAAACATGCTCTGTCACATAATTTTAACCTTGATTTTTATGTATTTGTCATTGAAAAGAATGAAGGACTCTGGTACAGTCAATTACTTGGTATAACTCTCCTAGCCATGGTCTTTGTGACTCCCACCAGATTACTGGGTGGAATTATGCAAATGTGTGGTGCTTTGTGGCCCACCAAGGAGATTGGATAGCTTGTTAGTAATGTAAATAACGTACATGACTCCCATGTGGGGGTGGGGCCATTCACATAAGGTATATGGAACCCTAATGTGGGGATTGGTTAGTCTTGCCATCTTGTGAGGCTTAAAAGGAGCCCTCCTAGAGGAAGAAAGGGAGATCTCACTGTCATCAAGAGAGAAGAGCTGGGGGTAGAGTCGAGTGCATCCTTGGACATGAGATCTCTGCACTGAACCTCCTTTGCAGAGAGATTGGCAGAGAGGCAGGAGAGAAATGGCAACAGTGGAACCAACAGGCATGAGACAGAGCAGTGGGCTTTCCAGTCCACAGAGTGAGAGAGCTGAGTGCGTTTGGACAGGAGGCTTGCTGGTGGTGTGGGTTGCACCTAAGTGCACCTATTGGCAGAGCTAAAAATGTTTTGTCATACTTGACTGAGCAAGGCAGAGGCCAGACCAAGGGCCAAAGAGAGGTGTACCTTTAAGCAAGGCTGAGGGGAGACTATCTAGGTGGAAGAATTGTATCCTGAGCACAAAAATGTATCCTAAGCGAATTCCTGCATCTGAATTACCTGTTACTTCTCTAATAACCCCGTAATTGTGAGCATTGTCTTGTGAGTTCTCTGTGGCCATTGCAGTGAATTATCAAACCCAGCAAGAAGTAGTTAGTGCCATGGGAGGGATGGCTGATAGCAGAATTGATAATATGGCTGGAGGGTGGCGCTGGAGGGTGGCGGCATGCCTGGCCTCATAGGAATAAGCCTTGGGCTGCTGATGGTGATTCTCTTTCTCCCTCATGATGTTGGAGGAAGTAAGAAGAGGATGCTGCCTCCATATCCTTTTTGCAAAGACAAACCAATTAGAATTATTAAGCATGAATACCTTATTACTAGCTCTTAAACTTGCCATGAACTTTCTGTCATTTAGGGTCTTTCTTTCTGTATATGGCTTTGAAATACTTTCTAGTGTCTTTTTCCTTCCCTCTGCAGAACTCCCATTAGTATTTTTTGTAGGGCTGGGATAGTGAACTTTCTCAGCTTTTAATTTCACCCTCATTCTTCTTTTTTTTTTTTTTAATTTTTTTTAATTTTAATTTGGGTGGAAGTTTCCAGAGCAAATTCACTTTCCATACAGCATTTCACATGTACTTTGTCTCATGACATTGACTACAATCTCCCACAGTGCAACAGCTCTCCTCTTACTTCTTCCCCATAGCCACTTCTTCCCTGTGTCCTTCCCTCCCATACACTCCTGCCCCCCAAGCTGTGTCCCTGTATGTACACAACCCCTCTATTCTTCCTTCATTGATCTCTCCAAGGAGTAATTTCACCCTCATTCTTGAAGGAAATTTTTGTTAGGTATAGTATTCTTGGTTGACAGTTTTTTCCTATATTTAACTTCTTGAAGAACTGCCAAACTCTGATCTACAGCAGCTGCACTATTTTTCACTCTCCAAGCAATGCTTAAGTGTTCTGTTTTCTTCCCATCAGGTCAGCACTTGTTATTTTCCATTATTTGATTATAGCCATCCTCAAACAGATTTTTTAAAATGTTATTTAGCATATCTCGTTGGTCTTGGTAGAAATGGTGTTCTTCTATAAATTATTCCATAAAGAGGAAGTTCCAACAAAAAAAATACTCAGCCTTTCATAGATCCCCATTAACTAACTGGTTTGTGTTTTGGTGTTTACCAGGCATTCCAGGAATAGGAACTACAAAGCTGAATTTGCATCATGCCGATTGGAGTCTGTGGCATTGGAATTTGGGGATTATCACCCACTGAAACCCATAACTGTAAGTATTGTTAAGAATCTCTCTAAATGATACTCTCCTTCTGTAAAATTACAGACAGTATTCCTGGGCCTTTTCTATCTTGCCACTTGTAGCTGCTTTTGCATATTTGAATCAGCTGATATTTCTGCATACACACTCCCCTGCCCCTTTTGATACTGGCCTCATCCACAATCACTTTTACTTCCCCCTTCCTCATCTTAGTGTGGCTGTCATGAGTATTGGATAGCGTTGTTTCTGATTTGAATATTTAAGCAAAATATATTTTCCTACTTAATTTACCTATTTGAAATACTAAGAATCATTCTAATGGTAATGTGATGCAGAATAACATCTTAGACTATCAGTAAGTTACTTTAAAAAAAAAAAGGCAAGCAAAAGACATGTTGTTGTTTTCACTTGCCATCTAGTCAGTCCCTGGCTCATGGTGACGCTATGCACAATTAAATCAGATCATTGTAAACTATACAGTTTTCTTTAAATTCTATTTGTCTTGTTGTTGAGAATATACGTAGCAAAACATACACTGGTTCAACAGTTTCTATGTACACAATTTGGTAAAACTGATTACATTCTTCAGGTTATGCAAACATTCTCACCTTCCTTTTCTGAGTTATTCCTCTCTCATTAACATAAATTCACTGCCTGCAAAAACGACAAGGAGGCCACATGTTCTGACCTTCTC